CTCATGATCTCGGGGTCATGGGATCGAGCCCCATGTCAAGCCCTGAGTTTGAGCCCCCAGTCGGGCTCCAGGCTCTGTAGGGAGTCTGCTTCAGAGTCTTTCTCTCCCCTCTGCCTCTCCCCCACCACCCCTGTGCACACACTCTCTCTCAAATAGTCTTTAAAAATAAAATAAAATCTTTTTTAATTACTTTAAAAGATTTTATTTATTTGAGAGAGAGAGAGAACAAGCAGGGGGAGGGGAAGAGAGAGAGGGAGAAGCAGGCTCCCCACTGTGCAGGGAGCCCGACGCGGGACTCAATCCCAGGACCATGGGATCATGACCTGAGCCGAAGGCAGACGGTTAACCGACTGAGCCACCCAGACGCCCCTAAAATAAAATCTTTAAAAGAAACTTCATCAATCAGAAGACTCAACGTTGTCAAGGAGTCAATTCTCCCCAAACTGGTGTATATATTCAATACATCTCCAACAGAATTTCAAAAGGCCTCTAGTAGAATTTGATGAGCTCATTCTAAAATTTATATGGATATGCAAAAGCCCTTGAACACTCAAAACAATTTTGAAAAAGAAGACAGCTGGAGGACTTTATCTGATCTCAAAAGTTACTACATAGTTACAGTAATTAAAACAGTTTAGCATTGGTGTAAAGGTAGATATAGAGATGGATGGAAAAGAATATACAGTCTGAAATTGACCCACACTTATATAGTCAATTGTCTTTCAACAAAGGGGCCAAGATAATTCAGTGGAGAAAGGAAAAGTTTTTCAACAAACAGGGCCAGAACAATCCCACATCCATAGGCAAAACAGTTTTGTCCTTCACACCACACACAAAAATCACCTTTAAAAGGATTACTATCTGAAATGTAAAAGCTAAAGTTATAAAAACTTTTAGAACAGAAGAAATTCATTGTAACAACAGGCAAGGATTTCTTAAATAGGACACAAAAGCACAAACCATAAATTTAAAAAAATGATAAATTATATTTTGTCAAAGTTAAAAATTTTGTTCTTTGAAAGATACCGTTAAGAAAATGAAAACTCGGGGCACCTGGGTGGCTCAGTCGTTAAGCACCTGCCTTCCGCTCAGGTCATGATCCCAGGCTCCTGGGATCGAGCCCCACATTGAGCCCCACATCAGGCTCCCTGCTTGGCGGGGAGACTGCTTCTCCCTCTCCCACTCCCCCTGCTTGTGTTCCTGCTCTTGCTCTCTCTCTCTCTCTCTCTGTCAAATAAATAAAATCTTAAAAAAAAAAAAGACAACCCAATTTTTTTAATGAGCGAAAGAGTTGAACAAGCACTTGGCAAAAGAAAATATGTAAATGGCTAAAAAGAATATGAAAAGATGTTTAATATTATTAATAATCAGGGAAATGCAAATTAAAATCAGTGAGATATCACTACCTACACATTAGAATGGTTAACATTAAAAAGATTGACAATATCATGTGTTGTCAAGGATCCAGAGCAACTGGAACTCTCACATACTGCTTTGGGGAGTATAAAATGATAAACCACTTTGAAAAGCAGTTGGGCAGTTAGAAATGCAGTAAAAAATATACAGTATTGGGACCCCTGGGTGGCTCAGTTTATTATAATGGGAAACATGCACTTGCAATATAAGTAGCAATTCTGTGCCTAGATGTTTATCAGAAAAAAGTGGAAACAAATACCTTCACGAAGACTTCTATATGAACTTTCATCTTAGTCTTATTCATAATTGGCAAAACTAGAAACAAACCAAATGTTCCTAACAGTTGACTGGATGAGCAAATTGTAGAATGGCCATACAACAGAATACTATTCAGCAATAAAAAGGAATACATACAACATGGATGAATCTCAAAAATATGTTAAACAGAAGAAGCCAGAAACAAGAGTACCTAGTGTATGATACCATTTCTATGAAACTGTAGAAAAGGCAAAAAACTAAAATGGCAGAAAACAAATCAATGTTTGGTCATGTCAAAATGACTCAGGCAACTTGAATAGGGTCCCGTCCCACCTCCTAAACATAGGACAATATGGTTATCAATAAGCTTAATAATTGCAATGGAATAACACACATCAAATGTGTTTCAATTTCAATTCATGAGTTTGTAGTGATACGAAAACATAAATACACACGTTGTTTACAAAAATAAGACTATGACAAATTAACAATTGTCAATGGTGGAAACAAAAATGCTGTTATAAAACTTTTTCTAATATTTTAAAAATATTTTTTAAAATTTTTTAAATATTTTATTTTTTAAATATTTTAAATATTTTTTAAATATTTTATTTATTTGCCAGAGAGAGAGAGAGCACACAAACGGGGGGGGCAGTAGGCAGAAGGAGAAGCCAACTCCCCACTGAGCAGGGAGCCCCACAGGACACGGTACTCAATCCCAGGACCCCGGGATCATGACCTGAGCTGAAGGTAGACATTTAACCAACTGAGCCACCTAGGGGTCCCAATACTGTATATTTTTTACTGTATTTCTAACATTTGGCCTGACACCAGAGATTTTAAAATTAAGAAATATTTATTCAATGTATGGTTATTGAGGCAAATGAAAATGTGTTTATTCATGAGGATGTAAGCGAACTTGTTTTCTTCGGTCAAAACATTTTTTAATGTTGTTTTAACAATATGCAACACTTTGAAACTCTTTTTATAAACCATCTGATCTTGGGTTCTACCCACAGAAATTCCCTGAATTCACACCACGTGTCCATTCGCAGGCCACATAGCTTTCCCTCCTTCTTTTCACATCTGAAATGCCAGGTCCTCTGAAACCTCCCAGTTTCATTACTGTAAGTAATGAAATGCCAAGCAGTCTCCTAAATTCCAGGCCCCTTGGGTAGTATTTTGACACTTCTCATTCTCAAAGTCCTAGGTTTACACTAGATCCCTTTTACTCTTGCCCATTTGAGGACTCCAATCAGCCCACAGACATTTTGTCAGGATTTATATATTTTCTCCCTTTAGGGTGGTATTTAATCAATAGGGAAACCAGACTATAAAGAATCTGGATGGATTCATAAAACCCATCATCGTTAATGGAAAAACAACTTGAAACACAAGCTCTCTGGATAGTTTTCCATCAATTTGAGTCATAGTCAGAAAAGTTGTTTTTACCTATCACCAACTGGGACTGTATGGAAAACACAGACTCTGAATGGGACCCCGGGGGAAGGGGACTTGTGTGTGGGAAGGGGAGGAAGAGTGAGATAGGATGTGGATGTCGTCAGAATTATGTTCCTGAATGTAACTGGGAGGAGGGTAGAAATTCAGATCTAGAAAGGACCTTAGCAACCATCTAGTCCATTCTTTTTATCTTACAGACTAAGAAACAAAGGCTTGAAAAAGTAAAATAGCAGTAGCCCGCAGACAAGACCCCAGGACGTCCTGAAGCCTAGTTCAGGGTCCTTTCCACTGTACCACCTGCTTATTTTTGAAAATGATCTATTTAGAAAGCTAAAACACACAAATTCAGGAAAGAAGCTCTTGATAGATTTCAGGGTTCGATGACATTGAGATTTTGCCAAAACAATAAAAACTGCCGAGCCATAAAGGTATTTAAATATTTGCAGAAGCTAGTTTAACTAGGTTTAGTATTTCCTAGGGGTACACCTCCCTTGTTTATGTTTCTTAATTAAAAAGTTGAAAACAAAAAAGTAGGGAGAGAGGCCATGGGTTCCACACAGGCACAAAATCAGCCCTTGATCATTCATTCCTCATGCAGCAATATTTAATGTCTACTGTGATTGAGGCACCCTGCCAGGTGCTGGGAATCCAAAGAACACAGACCCTGCTCCCTCAGAGCTTACTCTATAGCAGTGAAGACAGAGTATTAAAGTAGTAATTACATTAAAGTGTGTTGAGTGTTACAATTGGGAAAATGCCAGATTCTGTGGATTGATCCCCTGAGAATAATTCAAGCTGTTTCTCTTCTGTTATCAACATATTTCTGGGCTGCCTCTTGAGTTCCCCAAACATGAATTCTTTTCAACATAACACTTAAAACAACAAACATTTACTGAGCTCGTACTGGTGTGCCATACAGTGCAAGAAAATTCCAAGGTAAATTAGCAATGTAAAAATCATTCTATACAAGGACAAAATTATTTTGGATTATACATGCCTGGTAAATGTAGTATCACTTGACAGCACAGGTAAGCGGAAAAACAATTTGATATATCTTGATTTTTATAGTATTCTTAACAGGTGTTCTCAGCAAAATTACCGCCGGCCCCCTTGCCCCCCATCATTTCAGAGCGCTGGAAGGCTCTACCCACTACCTGGCATAGGTCTGAATGAAGTCTGTTCAGCCTTAAAGGGCCAGCTCAGGGGTGTGCTCTACCAAACGTCTCGCTGCCATAGGCCTGCGCACATCTTTCGCTCTCCCTCTCTACTCTTACAGGTCCCGCATTTATATAGCATTTAGCATGTACTCTTTTTAGTGTTGACTTTGTATATGTGTGTCTTCCCCTAAACTGGATGGATTGTTAAGGGCTGACTCGCCAGCCCTCTACGGTATCACCTTAAGAGGCGGTCCCCCCACACCCGTACATTTATCACAGAAACCAATTCCACTCATAATGTAGCAGACTGTCTCATTAACCTTGGGGCCCTATTTCCCTCCCAGTACAGCAATCTGGCTTATTCCACGGGGTGGAGAAAGAAGCCAGGTTGGTCGGGTGGGAGAGGAATGGCGTCAGTGTGAGGTCACGCCACATTGTCCCGAATGCCATCTCCACTCCGCGGCGACATTAACGCAGGATTGAGGGATGCAGCCGAAAGAAAGACAGTTTGCACCTCATGCAGACTACGTGCAAAAAGAGGGCAGGGCAGAGAACAATGCAGGGAACCTCGCGGGGCGTGGCAGGGCACCCGGGAGCCAGCAGTGAGTGCCCGCAGATAAGGAAAGCGGGGAGCGAGAAGCCACGCGGAGGCCGCGCAGGATGAGGCGGGACTTCCGGAAGCCATTTGGTTGAGTGGCAGGGGAACCGGAAGTGGGGGCGCTGCCGCTGGTGCTGGGGCCCGAGGAGGGACGCGCCGGAGCGGGGCCGCCGGGACTGAGCGAGCGACAGACGCGCCACCCGCCGACGCCGCAGCCGCTTGGGGCCCGCACGGACCCTCTGCCTGAGTGAGTGCAGCCAGGGTCGCGGGGAACCGGAGGCTTAGAGGTGGGGGTCGGAAGGGCCTGCGATTTGTTATTGTGAGAGGCCCGCGACCTCCCCTCCCCCACTGTCCGGGCCCC